GGTCGGCGCCCTACTCCTTTGAGCCACAGGCGCCGCCCAAAACAGGCTGTTTTTAATGAAGTTAAACATACAGTTACCATATAACAGAGCAAATCGATTCCTAGGAATATATCCGAGAGAAATAATGTATATACACACACATATGCATGAAAGCCTTGTACAAGAATTTTTGTACACAAAATACATAATGACCAAAAACTGCAACAGCCCGTATGTCCATCCATAAGGAATAGATCATCATCATGGTATACAAATAACAGAAGACTTCTCAGCAGTTCCAGGGTCTGCCCAGGCTGCCCTAATACAAGACTGCTGTTCTAAGACTCTGCAGAGTCCAAGATAAGTTATGGCAAAATGGTGGTGGAAGCCAAGCTCTCTGGTGTGTCTTCTCATCAGGGCACTAATTCTATTAGCAGGGCCCTGCCCTTCTGACCTCCTTTCACTTAGTTACTTCCTTAGAGGCCCCATCTCCAAATATAGCCACAGCGGGACGGGGTGTATGTGTGAAGGATTCAACATATATGAATTGGGAGGGGGGGGATGTAAAGTTTTGGTCCATAACAGGAAAGAATAAAAAAGAAACTACTGTTACTTGCTACAACATGGCTGAATAAAAAAAGACCCTAAAATCCCCCAATTATGAAGTTTAAGAACAAATAAAACAGAGCGATGATGTCAGACATTGACATAGCATTGACCTCTGTGTGGCTAGGGAGGGACTGATGGAAAAAGGACATGAGGAAAATTTTTAATGATGGAAATGTTTTTGGTTTTGTTGTTTTTTTCTTTTTTTCAGTTTTTGGCCAGGGCTGGGTTTGAACCCACCACCTGTGGTATATGGGGCTGGTGCCCTACTCCTTTGAGTCACAGGTGCCACCCAATGATGGAAATGTTTTTTACCTAGATCTGGGGGGTGTTGACTCAGATGAATACATTTGCAAAAATGTCTAGAGATTTATCCTCCTAATACGTAAATGACAACTCTATAAAGTGCATTTCTCTAGATGAGCTCCTAGGGATTACCTCTGTCTTCTGAGCACTTCTATGGAGTCTTCTGTTATATGAATGTATCATAATTTATCAAACCAGTTCCCCATTGATGGACATTTAGATTTCTTCTACATTTTTGCTATTACCAGCAATGCCATAGTGAATAGCCTTGAAAGACAGATTCCTAAGTGGGGTTGTTACAGCTTTTTCTCTCTAATAAGAGTCTGACGCTCAGAAGCAAGAATAGACTTCCTCAAGGCCTGCTGGAATTACCTACTGTGAGTTGTGGATGTAGAACTTGGAACTGAAGAGGTTCATGTTATTACATAGAAATATTGATAGGAGGTGATGTGAGGCTTCTAATCGGACCGTTTAGAATAATCCCTTTCCTTCTTTGTCTAACTCCTACTCATTCTGGGAGTAGTAAGGCCTTTGGGCTGCATTAAGTTAACATTACGCTAAGTTAATTTCTGGGATCTCATAGTATCCTGGGCTTAATAACAACTCACTTGTACCAAGCAAAGTGCTAGCATTTCATATGCGTTAGCTCATTTAACCTTTGAAACGGCATTAGGTATAGCTGTTATAAATCCCACACCTATTTTATAGATGGAAAAACTGAGGTATAGACCATTTAAGTAACTTGCTCAAGGTTGCACAGCTAAAAAGTGGCATAAACAGGCTTTAACACAAGTACTTGATACAAAAGGCTCTATTTTTTTTTTTTTTGGCCCTGGGTAGAGTGCTGTGGTGTAATAGCTCACAGCAACCTCAAACTCTTGGGCTCAAGAGATCCTCTTGCTTCAGCCTCCTGAGTAGCTGGGCATACAGCCACCTGGCACAATGCCCAGCTATTTTTTAGAGACAGGGTCTCATTCTTGCTCAGGCTGATCTTGAACTCCTGAGTTCAGGCAATCCACCCACCTTGGCCTCCCAGAGTGCTAGGATTACAGGTAAGAGCCATTGAACTTGGCCTTTGGTTCTTTGGTGGGGGGGAGGAGTTGTTGTTGTTAGTTTGTTTTTTTGAGACATTGTCTTGCTCTGTGGCCCAGGCCAGAATAGTGACATCATCATAGCTCACAGCAAACTCAGACTCCTGGGCTTAAATTATATTCCTTCCTCAGCCTCCTGAGTAGCTGGGACTACAGGCATGTGCTACCCTAACCATTACATTATAGTTCCCCTCGAGAATAACACCGCACAGGGATGTCGTTTGAGGGTTTCATGGAATGGTTTCAGTGTTGATCAGTGGGTCTCTACTCCTTAAAGCTTGTTACTACATCTCCATCTTCCCCAAATCTGGCACACAGTGGAATTCGAAGGGCTTAGCACTGTGCCTGACACATAGTAAGCACTCAGTGAGTGCTAATTATTATTATTAGAACACCACAAATGTTTGTTGAAATAAACATTTGCATGAATAACTAATTACCTAAATTATTCTTTTAGCAAATAAACAATGAACATAGGGACAACAGGCTACAGACCTCTTCTCCTGCCAAATATCTCATTTGGAGGCAGCTGAACCATGAAGGAATTGCCAGCCCTTTTCTGTTCGCACGTCTGCTCCCCGACTAGGACAGAGAAGCAGGAAGGGCATCTGATTCGGTGTTGGTGCACCAGCCCTGCTCGGCGCAGGCACGATGAGGGGCAGGCTCTGAACACACTTGTGTGCAAGAAAAAAAGCAGTTGATACAGTAGTGGTGGGGAGAGTGTGTGCGTGTGCATGGGTGTGTGCACATGTACTGTCTCTCCTTCCCGCTCACAATGAAACCCCATTAAAAATGGGGTGTGAAGGCAGGACGAGGTGGCTCATGCCTGTAATCCAAGCACTCTGAGAGGCCAAGACAGGTGGATTGCCTGAGCTCAAGAATTCAAGACCAGCCTGGAGCAAGAGTGAGACCCCATCTCTAAAAATTAGCTAGGATGATTCAGTATCTGCAGCTCAGTGGCTAGGGCACCAGCCATGTACATCGGAGCTGGCAGGTTCAAACCCAGTCGGGGCCTGTTGAACAACAATGACAACTACAACCAAAAATAGCTGGGCATTGTGGCGGGCGCCTATAGTCCCAGCTACTCAGGAGGCTGAGGTAAGAGGATGTCTTGAGCCCAAGAGTTTGAGGTTGCTGTGAGCTATGATGTCACGGCACTCTACCAGACAAAGTGAGACTCTGGCT